AAGAACACGAAAATTCTTGAATACAAGCAGTGCCAGTATATAGAACATGCTATGTATAAATCTTAATACGTATAGTCATATCACTAAGCATCGTCAACTTTGATCACCCATACCTCGGTACCCAATAATTATATTTTAAAATTTTGTACCATGTTTGATACATTGAAATATATATAACAAAGGTGATCCAGTAGCAAATCGTAATTCTACGCGGAGAAAATTGAATTTAATCATTCTCCTGGAATGATTCCGTCTGGCTCTGACCCCAGGAACCTTAGACAAGTGCCACACCTGGTCTTCGTCCGCCATGGATGCCCTTTAATACTAAGCCCGACGATCCCAAACGGATAACTGACCGATGACTGATGGCACAGATGCCTTTGTTCGAACTTGCTCGATCACGACTGAACAACGAGAATGCTTCTATCCGAATTTGTTCGATCGTGTCGCAAGAGAAGCGTGTTCGAACGGATAACGCGACCTGACCTTAACCTCTTCTCGTTACGTATCGACCGATTTTTCATTTACAACCGATTAGATGAAAGATAAATCGATGATCCTGTCATAGGGAACTAATCGAGACTGCGGGGAAGAATTTTTCCCGTGTACCTGTTGATCGAGGAACAGGGAAGATCCCTGATTTGTCAGAGGGTTGGGCGATCTTTCCTCGCGATGGAGGATCGAATTTTCTATATTTTCCTCGCGATGGAGGATCGAATTTTCTTTATTTTCTTCGCGATGGTGGGTCGAATTTTCTTTATTTTTCGCACGATGGAGGATCGAATTTTCTTTATTTTCCTCGCGATGGAGGATCGAATTTTCTTTATTTTTCACGCGATGGAGGATCGAATTTTCTTCATTTTTTACGCGATAGTGGATCGAATTTTCTTTATTTTCCTCGCGATGATGGATCGAATTTTCTTTATTTTTCACACGATGGAGGATCGAATTTTCTTTATTTTCTTCGCGATGGTGGATCGAATTTTCTTTATTTTCCTCGCGATGGAGGATCGAATTTTCTTTATTTTTCACGCGATGGAGGATCGAATTTTCTTTATTTTCCTTGCGAGGGAGAATCGAATTTTCTTTATTTTCCTTGCGAGGGAGAATCGAATTTTCTTTATTTTCCTCGCGATGGAGAATCGAATTTTCTTTATTTTCCTCGCGATGGAGAATCGAATTTTCTTTATTTTCCTCGCGATGGAGGATCAAATTTTCTTTATTTTTCACGCGATGGAGGATCGAATTTTCTTTATTTTCTTCGCGATGGAGGATCGAATTTTCTTTATTTTTCACGCGATGGAGGATCGAATTTTCTTTATTTTCCTCGCGGCTTTTCCTTCGCGGACAGTGGATTCGTCGTCGTAGTCGCCAAGTCGTGTCCCGTCGCCGTGAAGAGGAAGCAGCGGCCGTAAAATGGCAGGTTCTGGGACGAAATTGTCGGCGTATTCGAGTGGAATCGATATTATTACAGCGGCGAGCGACGTGGACGTCGTGGCAAAGAGAAAACGAGCGTGTTTCGGTAACAAGCCACTTATTTACAACTCCGATTCGCTGAAAACGTCGAGCGTGCGGGAATAATTTAGCGACTGCGGTACGGTTATCCCGTCGCGTATCCCGCCAGCGAGTCACGTCGATCTGAAATGCACCCTCCGCATCGGAGGCTTCGTTAAGGGTGTGTTCCAGGGTTAACGGAGGTCAACGCGATCCTTAAACTCTCGCCCCGGCCGATACCATCTTTCTCGGCTTCCGTTCCCTGTTAACGGATCCACGCAAACTTTCCGCCATTTCGAGTTCAACTTTCGCCTTTCGACTCGATGAAATTAAAAGTACAACAGGGGAAATTAGAAATTCGAATTTTTCCCTTTCTTGTCTAATTTTGCGGGCGAATAGTCGACGAATTATCCCTTTTTAGCCTGCGTTTGAACTTCGCGATCCAATCGCCTAAATTCAGAATTCAAATATGCGCTTTCATAGTCTATATTTGAACAGAGATCTGTCCAATTTCACGTTTGAACTGTTAAAATTAAAAATAGGAAGTTCAAAATTTGCATTTACTCTTCCCTAATCTCCACCTGAATAGACATCCGTCTAATTTCGCGTTTGAACCGTGAAAATTAAAAATATGGAATTCAAAATTCACATTTATTCTTCCCTAATCTCCACCTGAACAGAGATCAGTCTAATTTCGCATTTGAACCGTAAAAATTAAAAATAGGGACTTCAAAATTCTCATTTACTGTACCGTAATCTCCACCTTAATAGACAATCGCCTAATTTGGCGTTTGAACCGTAGAAATTAAAAATAGGGAATTTAAAATTCGCATTTATTCTTCCTTAATATCCATCTGAACAGTGATCGGTCTAATTTCGCGTTTGAACCGCAAAAATTAAAAATAGGCAATTAAACACTTGCATTTATTCTTCCATAATCTCCACCTAAATAGACATCCGTCTAACTTCGCCTTGGCGTCATCGAAATCCAGACAAATCTACACCTACACAGAGATCGGTCTGATTCCACGTTTGATCCTTCAAAACATAAATCCAGAACCCGAAATACAAACCACTTCCTTCATAACCTATACTCGAAGAAAACCCAATGAAATTCCGCATCGAAATGGTGGAAATCCAAAGTTCAGATTTACTCTTCCAAAGAAGATCGATCCTCTTCGACGTAATCGAAACTCGTTAGAAACGGTTCGCCATTCTCGCGCCTCTCGCGTGGCCGATCAGGTAGAACCAGTAAAAGTAAACGGTCGCGAGCTTTCTCCGGTTTGCAGGTCGGTAAAAGCTCGTCTATCCAATTTCGCGGGAATCTCTCGTCGCCTGGCGATCGAACGCGAGGTCGTGGGGTTTTCGAGGGGCCGGCTCTTTGCATCCGATATCGCGTAGAACCGGATATTCCATCTTACGTCACACGTATGCTGACCCATCGCGGAGTGGTTGAGAACTGAGAATCGGCAGCGACTCCATTTTTCTCAGAGTTAAGAATTCGTTCGAGAATTCCGTCGAGAGTTTCGAGAATTCTATCGAGAATTCCGCCGCGAGTTCCTTCGAGAATTCCGTCGAGAGTTCAATCGAGAGTTCTTTCGAGAATTCCGTCGAGAGTTCCATCGAGAGTTCCATCAAGAGTTCTTTCGAGAATTCCGTCATGAGTTCCATCGAGAATTCCGTCGAGAGTTCCTTCGAGAATTCCGACGAGAGTTCCATCGAGAGTTCCATCAAGAGTTCTTTCGAGAATTCCGTCATGAGTTCCATCGAGAATTCCGTCGAGAGTTCCTTCGAGAATTCCGACGAGAGTTCCATCGAGAGTTCCATCAAGAGTTCTTTCGAGAATTCCGTCATGAGTTCCATCGAGAATTCCGTCGAGAGTTCCTTCGAGAATTCCGACGAGAGTTCCATCAAGAGTTCCATCGAGAGTTCTTTCGAGAATTCCGTCGTGAGTTCCATCGAGAATTCCGTCGAGAGTTCCGTCGAGAGTTCCGTCGATAGTTCCTTCGAGAATTCCGTCGAGAGTTCAATCGAGAGTTCTTTCGAGAATTCCGTCGAGAGTTCCATCGAGAATTTCGTCGAGAGTTCCATCGAGAGTTCCGTCGAGAGTTCCATCGAGAATTCCGTCGAGAGTTCCATCGAGAGTTCTTTCGAGAATTCCGTCGTGAGTTCCATCGAGAATTCCGTTGAGAATTCCGTCGAGAGTTCCATCGAGAATTTCGTCAAGAGTTCCGTTGAGAGTTCCTTCGAGAATTCCGTCGTGAGTACCATCGAGAGGTCCTTCGAGAGTTCCGTCGAGAGTTCTATTGAGAATTCCGTCGAAAGTTCAATCGAGAATTCCATCGAGAGTTCCTTCGGGAATTCCATCGAGAGTTCCTTCGGGAATTCCATGGAGAGTTCCTTCGGGAATTCCATCGAGACTTCCTCACCTTCCTCGAATTTTCGGAAGAAACGTACCCCCGATTAATTTCGTTTCGCGTCCACGCAAACTGCGATCTACTCGATCGTAATTATCGATTCGATTCACGGATCCGTCCGTGACGTCGGGAGATCCATTTATCGAGGATCGACGGCAGCCTCGGCTTCCGGTTCTGACGCGCGACGAACAATACGCGTCCTCTTTCGTCGAAGAATTCGCGAGTCTCCAGCAAGGGTACGGAGCGTTTTACAAGACCCGCGAGAGATCGGAGGAGAGCAAAGACGACGGGCGTGTATGGTTCCTCTCGAATTGCGTGGCCGTGGTTTCGTCATCGAATTTTTCGTCGGGCATGCAGACTCGTCTGGAGCGCAAATATCGCGAAGCGGGCTGGATTGCGCAACCGCCTGGCCCCTCGGAGCGTTTAACCGTGTGGGCGCCGAAAAGCAAACGCGATAAAAAGCGGTCGACACACTTCTCTCCGGTCGCGTGGTGCGGTGATTCCCCTGGCCCGCGAGAGGAGCAGCCGATAATGGCCGGTTACGGAGGCAGCGGCGAGAGGGAAGCAAGATCGAGAGTGGCGCTGGAAGAAAGCGCGATTCGTCGCGATTCGCCGCGACTCGCGACGGCGACGGCGGCATCCAGCGATCGGCCGCTCGAGCCGATTTTCCACGCCGATTTTTCCCCGGCCGCTGCCTCGAGAAATTGCTTAATGAAGCCGCGAGGTTGGCACTGCCTGAAAGGAAGGTAGAAACGTTGCAGTGGGTCAAGGAGAGACACCGGCTTTCACTTCCTCTCCGCAGCGCCGCGCTATACCCCTCGAGAACACCTCCCATGCCTCTCTTTTTTTTTTCCATCGTGCTTCCTCAGCCTTCCTGGGCTACCGTTAGCGAGCCATCGCCATTTTTCTCTAACGGCACGCGTAATCGAAATTTTCGCTGGAAATACCGTGCAATACCGCTGCACGCGTTGTATGTACCACTATCGACGATAATCGACGACGAGGTTCCAAGACGAAGGGAGACGAAGCTGAAATTAAAGAGAGAGGAAAAGGGAGAAGCTAACGTTTGCCGTATTCGTGTGATTTCAGTGGACACCAGGGAGGTTCAGCCACACGATGCGAACGAGAAGGAACAACTGGGCCTGGCGAGCGTGAAAGCGGAACCAGGATCGACCGGTACGACGACGACCACCACGGGCACTCGTCTGCTGCACGGTATTCTCTCGCAGCATCCCCAGCAGCACGGATTAGGGGTGCAAAACGGATACGGCCGCCACTTGGCCGGCCACGCTCAGATGGGCCAACCGTCCTACACCACTGCCACGATCGCCACCACCAGTACACCAGGTGAGTAGTCTGGCCGTGCTGTGCCACGCTTTCGTCACAAAGATGGAAGCTTCGAGTCGCGATCGCGATAGAAAACGGCGGAGAAAGCAACGGAAACGATCGCTCCGTTTCACTGGCGCGCGCGCGCGAGCAAGCGAGATCGCGGACGCGGCGTGAAGCCGGCTTTTCGCGCGCGCGGCTGGTAAAACGGAGCAGGCGCGCATCGATTTTTCATCGCGGCGGCTCTGCTCGGCCAATAATAATATTTACAAAGCAATATCGACGGCTGGCTGGTAAACAGCCGACAGGAAATCACTTCCGGCGTGGCTCCGCCGCGCCACGCCGCGCCGCGCGTTTGACTTTCCTCTCTCGCCACGCTTTTCATGGGCACGCCAGGTAAAGCGTTCCGCGCGCTCCCATTGGCCGTTTCTCGGCTGGCTCGTCCGCTCCACCAGCGATTCCCCGCCGCTGACATTAATCGTTAGAGACTACGAGGTGGCAATAAAAAGGCGAAAATTCCTGTTTAGCCGTCGCGCAGACCGGCAATATCGATTTCTCCGCTTCCCGTGTCCCACCGACCAGCACGGATTTCACCGTGGAAGAAATACCCCGAAAACGAGCATCTCGAGAGGTCCGCGCCGATTTTTCGCCCTCCTCTACTGCTTCCTCCGTTGGCCGGTCTGTCGGTTTTCGGGCTGAGATAAACGGTCGGCGAGGATGAAATCGGGGAGCATAGCCGGGTGTCGTCCCCCTCGGAGGAGAGCAGAGGCGAGAAAGAAATAAAAGATCGGGGAGCACGTAACGGCGTCTCGCGTAAATTATCCAGCCCCGCACGTGATTCGGCGTTTTGCAAAGTATCGTTGCGTAAGCCGGCCACGGGTGTACTCGCGACGCGTTCACCGGCGATCCGGTTCAGAAGTACCCGGCCGGGCCGGTCGATTACCGAAATAATCGCTCGTTACGGAGACCGAGCAACCACGCGATGTAACGCGTCTGTGCCGGTACCCGCGAGCTTATACAATGCCGCGCCACGACGCTGACGACGCCGGAGACCGGAGGGAACCGGTGGGAGGCGGCGGTGGCGTGGAAGGAAGCAAAAGGAGACGGAGAGACGGATAACTCGTGCAACGGACAGGACCTTTTAGGACTGGTTTCCAATCGTTTGCTTTCTCTGTCCGTTTCTCGGTCTGCACGGGCAGCAGCGGAGCACAGGCAGAGGCAGAGGGAGAGGGAGAGAAAGAGACCGTGGGAAGCACGAGCGATATGCATACCCAATGACCGGATGACCTTCGCCCGTTGCATAAAGATGCCTTTAATTGACGGCGCACGCGAAAACACGTTCGGCGGTGCAGCTCGATAAACCGACGCGAGCAGTCCTTTGCTCCGCTTTGGACCACCTCGGAGACTTCAATTCGTCGACGGGGACGCGATGCGCGATGAAACCGTGCGGAAGGAACGCCGTCCGCGAGCTTGCGCCAGACTCCGGCCAGATGGCGCCTCCGAGTTCGTTGCGCGACCCGCGCCATACGCCGCGCGAAAATCGCCCGCACCGCGTTCGATGACTCCGACGACCCGGTCGATTTCGCGATCGTGTCGAGCAGCGTGTACGGCTGTTGAGAAGGAAAGCGCGCGAGACGTTGCGAAATCGCCGGGTCCTGTCGAGGTCAGTCACCTGGACGCGATTACCAAACGAAACTCGTGCATTTCTGTTCCATTGCATGCAAACAGGAAGCGGATCACTGCCAGCCAGCCCCGCGGACAGCGGAGTCAGCGACGTCGAGTCCAGCACGTCCTCGGGCGGTAACGAGGACGCGAATCTCTTACTGAAAGCCAGGCTCAACCCTAACTCGTCCCTTCAGCCAAGTCTAGCGTCCCATCATTCTCACTTGTCGTCAGGTAAGCGTTACGTTATTTCACGTCCAATTACGAGCTGGCCAAAGCCAGCCTCGGCCATTCTTTTTTTATTTCGCTTTAAATCGGTCTAGACCAATGCCCCAGACGACACCGAGACGACGTCGGTGATAATTCACGAGGTTGACAGACCGATCGTCCCAATTCCCACACTTGAAATCATTCGCGCTCTTTAATTCCGCTCCGTCGATCATTTTTGAACGCTAAAGCGCGTTTCCACCGTTCCTCTGCGAGAAGAGACATGGCAGGATGACACTAGACCGTCTGATTGCTCCTACTCCATATTTAGCACCGGAATATGCTAATACGGTAGAAGTACCAAAACTCGAACGATCAACACTGGTCCCCTGTCTTTGCTACTGCTTTATCACGCTGGCTAACCTACCGTCGAGTTCCTCGAGCTGTTCTATCTTTGACCAGTAATAGATACTCGTCTCTATCTCGAAGTACCAAAGTTAACGCTTTCTAGCTTCATTTTCGATCCTAATTATCGAATGCGATCGCGTTTGTCGCGTAATTTTGGACAACGATGACAGTTGGATAGCCACAATTGCGCTCTTTCTTTACCACCGTTCTTTATCATCTTTATCGCGTTGTCTGACTCACCTAGATTTAGCATATCTCGTCCTATTTCTTGTACCGTACGCAATTGCCTTCAAACGATTAGGCGGTAGCCCAAATCGAAGGATGAGAATTCGCGTACCGATCGTTGACCGATCTTTGCCCTGTCTGTCAGTCTTCTTCTCGCCAACGAACGGCGGGTTTCGCGAGGAAAAGCTGTGTTTTTAAAGTTAGAGACGGAAAGATGCGTAGACGAGCGGTTTCTTATCGAATATCTTTATCGACTGTCCGACAGCAGCGCTTGGCAGGTCAGCCTGTCACAGTCCTGGCGTTTATCCGTCGACGGCGAGCTTTCTGCCGCCCTCCTATCATCCTCATCAGCATCATCCCTCCCAGTACCATCCGCACAGAGGGAGCTCGCCTCACCATCAACACGGCAACCACGCGATGGGCCCGACAATGGGACCGCCCCACCATCATCACCACCATCAAACGCAGAGTCTGCAGCACTTGCATTATCGTCAGCCTCCTACACGTAAGTTCGTTGTTTTATCTTTCTCTCCCACGTTTCTCTTCTCTCTCTCTCTCTCTCCCTCTTTTCTTCTCTCTACCCTTCTCGCTCTTCGTCGTCCTGCAATCTCGCGTTTCCCGCGAGAAACGAAGGACGGCGCCGCGGCGGTGTCCAACGTTCACAGAGGTCACATTGGGTCAGCAAAGTCCTCTATTTCGGAATTGCAAATGCCTCGAACATCGCGGCGCAGTTGCAACATTTCGAGGGATATTGAAATTTCAAATTTCATTTGGAATTCTGCGAAAATATCGCAGTCGCTGGTTCGAGGCCGTTTGCTGCACCGCGATTCAAACAGCGATATACTTTTCCCCCCTTTCTTTCATTCTTTCTCTCTTTCTCTCTTTCTTTCCCTCTTTTCCTCCGTTTTTCTGCTCGGGGGGACGTGGTGAAGGGACGTCGGGACGCGAGGCGTTCCTCCGACCCCGTTTCCACGAGTCTGACGGTACCAGACGATCCCGACACGGCGGATTCGATCGAAGCCGACCAATAAATCAGTAATTTCAGCATCTCGCGGCGATATCCAGAGAGAGATTCGATAGTCGTGACGCAACGACGACACGGCTCGGGTTTATTTCGGCTCGCTGGGTATCGATTATTCCGGACGAGGAAAGAAAGTGTCTCGGCCTCTTAGGTAATTACGCTCCATAAATAATTTCGCTTAAAGCCACCCGTTCCAACGCTCATGCGAACGGAATCATTCCGAACAATCGATCCACCGGCGTTATGGTTTCGAGAACATTCGAGGCTAACTCGTCTTGACCTACCCGCATCGCGCGAATTAGCCGAGGATCCTTATCGCCGAATCCATTTTATCGACTCCTCGCAGGGAATGCGACTGTCGGTCGCCATTCGCATGATCCGGGTCAATGTCTGTCCCCTAGGTGCGAAATTCGAACTAACCCCCGCGAAGATTTCTCTTCGAATTATTCCCAAAAATAGCATCGATTTCCGGTGAGAGAAGCTTCCAGGTAGTGTCCTACATCGGGTCGAAGAGTCGAGATCGTGTGCAGAGTTAGGTTAGACTCGCAGAGGTATTAAAAGCGCACTGTTTCGTGAAATAATACGATTACTTCGGGGTACGAGTTCGAGGTTCGTAGGAAAGGGAAAATGGAATTGAAAATTAATTTGTCCCGGTGATAACATCGGAAAAATTTACCCACGCGAAAGGGGTGACTCGATATTCGATATTTCACGCTCGTCATAGTTATCCGAGACAAACGTTCATTTTATTTAATTTTATTTCATTGTATTTCTCACACGTGTCGTGAAAAATTTTATTATTGTTTCTGTTATCGTACTTAGCGAAAGTGTTTAATGGATTTTCGTTCGACGAATTCCTCGCTCGTGTTTATGGAGTACCGTGTGAGTACCCCGTGGTCTTTCGTCCTGCGCCGTGCAATAGGGAAACTAAAAATATTTCTTCGTCACAAAGGGCTGGAATTATAACGGATGGAACGAAATACAGAGTCCAGATCGACACTGGACCCCGAGGGGTTGGGTTTTATTTAACCCCTTGCTCCCGAAGACTTCTTCGCTAGAGGGAAGCCTCGACCCGAAGCTTCTCAGCCATAAAATCAACGACGATCTTGGCAACTACGTTAAAGCATGCTTCGTGTCTCGTTACGGTATTTTAATTTAAAATTTCACAGGACAACACCTCGAATAGGACAAGATTCGCTTCTCTAATTCCAAAGATTCTCGCGAAATGATAGAAATCGGTGAAAAATCGGTGCATACGCGATTAACCCTCTCACTACTCGAGACCTGACTCTCAGTCGCCATTTGTCTCGATCACACGTGTCGTGAAAAATTTTATTATTGTTTCTGTTATCGTACTTAGCGAAAGTGTTTAATGGATTTTCGTTCGACGAATTCCTCGCTCGTGTTTATGGGGTACCGTGTGAGTACCCCGTAGTCTTTCGTCCTGCGCCGTGCAATAGGGAAACTAAAAATATTTCTTCGTCACAAAGGGCTGGAATTATAACGGATGGAACGAAATACAGAGTCCAGATCGACACTGGACCCCGAGGGGTTGGGTTTTATTTAACCCCTTGCTCCCGAAGACTTCTTCGCTAGAGGGAAGCCTCGACCCGAAGCTTCTCAGCCATAAAATCAACGACGATCTTGGCAACTACGTTAAAGCATGCTTCGTGTCTCGTTACGGTATTTTAATTTAAAATTTCACAGGACAACACCTCGAATAGGACAAGATTCGCTTCTCTAATTCCAAAGATTCTCGCGAAATGATAGAAATCGGTGAAAAATCGGTGCATACGCGATTAACCCTCTCACTACTCGAGACCTGACTCTCAGTCGCCATTTGTCTCGATGCTATAATTTAAATGACGAATAAGGATAAGTACACGTGGAATATCGAAACAGGATAATTCTTTTCTTTGTTTTAAAAATTTGTAAGAGTTTATAGGAGCTTGTAAGAATATAAGGAAAGCTTCGAGCTGCTGTTCTGTACCACGAATAAAGCTTCCAGTGCAAAGGGTTAATCGCGTAAGAACGTAAATACGAATCTGCAGATTTATCAGTGGAATTTAATTAAATTTAAATTTTCTTTCCTAATTGTTGTGATTATGGGTACTAATAGGAAAATAACTAGGTATATGTGCCTGTGATTATGAAAGTGGTTTAAGTCACTTATATTTGCTTCCGAAATATTAAAAGCTTTAAATACGTCATAAATTATAAAATTAATTGCGATAAAGCTGCAAACTCAATATAACGATTCATTTCATCGCTGTTTCGCAGAAAATAAATATATTTTATCGTAATATATATGAATGCTACACGAAATAAATGATAAAGTCGTTCCTCTTAAAGATGACTTAGGCCACTTTCATAATTATAGGCACACATATATATATTCTCTGTTGAAATCTTTTATTTCTCAAGGAAGATATATATTTCTTAAATTATGAAATTAATTGCGATAAAGCTGCAAACTGAATCTAACGATTCATTTCTTCGCTGTTTTCTAGAAAATAAATATATTTTATCGTAATTTAAATGAATGCAACACGAAATAAATGATAAAATCGTTCCTCTTAAATCGATGACTTAGACCATTTTCATAATTATAATATATGTATAGACATATGTATGTACTTATAATAATGATAGTGGTCTAAGCCATCGACTTAAGAGGAACGATTTATATATATGTTATATGTATTCTCTGTTGAAATCTTTTATTTCTCAAGGAAGGTATATATTTCTTAAATTATAAAATTAATTGCGATAAAGTTACAAATTCAATTTAACCATTCGATTCTTCACTGTTTTACAGAAAATAAATATATTTTATCGTAATTTAAATGAATGCAACACGAAATAAGTGATAAAATCGGTCCTCTTAAATCGATGACTTAGACCACTTTCATAATTATAGCCACACACACATATATATATTCTCTGTCAAAATCTTTTATTTCTCAAGAAAGGTATATGTTTCTTATAGTGCTTCTCTCGAAAGACTGTCTGACTCCTCTAAGACACATCTACAGCTGTACCCGACTGCTGAGAGAATGTCAAGAGGGTACACGCGCGTTCTAAACCCCCAATTCTTATCGAATGTTTATATAAACATTCGTTCTAGGGATTCATATCTTCCAAACTATTTACTCGTATCTTATCTCCTAGATTAATTTTTGACTACAATTAACCACTTCCGCTACGATTTAACTTTCGGTTGCCGTGCCGCACTCTACAATATCACATGTGGCAAGGCGTTACATTGATGACCCATCGCGTCTGCGAGCTAACTGTTAGCCGACGTGGCAGACACGTCGTTTTTGTTTCTGCGACAAATGCATATCGACGTGGTATACACGTCGCTGGCGGCTTTGGAACAAAAGCATCTCGACGTGCGTGGCACGTCTTTATAGCGCAAGTGGTTAAACTTATGTTTTCAACACCAATTGATCCCGCGATTCGTCTGTACTATATCGATCTCTAGATCTTTCCGATCTCTGTCCGTCGATAGGTACAGAAAGACAGGGAAACTGAGCAAATGAACGAGCTCGTTTACGCGAAGTGGTTCGAGATACATCGCTGCTATTTCCGACGTGGAAATAGTGAAAATAGCTCGTAACGACGCGCTTCTGTCTACCGATTCGACCAGGTTGCGAATCCCGATGAATACCCTTAATCCGGTCGCAGGTCTGTCGTCGTTCTTGCCACCAACCACCTCACCGTGTTCCGTATATCGAGCGTGCTTTTCCACGAGATCGCCACACGGATTATCTCGATCGAATGCAAGAAAGCTTTTTAAATCGGACTCCGATTCCTGTTTACCACGCGTCAAGGATTTCCTGCCAATCGCTCGCGAGGTTTAGACCATCTCAAGGGGAATTTAAAACGAATTCGGAGAAAATTGGGACCAATTTCGGAGGAATCGGAGACCAACTCGGGGAACTTTAACCACTTGTGCTGGAAAGACGTGCCACGCACGTCGTAATGCTTTTGTACCAGAAGCGTTAATGACGTGCCACGCACGTCGTAATGCTTTTGTCAAAGAATCATCAATGACGTGCCACGCACATCGTAATGCTTTTGTACTAGAAGCGTTAATGACGTGCCACGCACGTCGTAATGCTTTTGTCCCAGAATCGTTAATGACGTGTCACGCACGTCGTAATGCTTTTGTCCCAGAATCGTTATGGACGTGTCACGCACGTCGTAATTCTTTTGTCCCGGAATCGTTAATGACGTGCCATGCACGTCGTAATGCTTTTGTCAAAGAATCATCAATGACGTGCCACGCACGTCGTAATGCTTTTGTCAAAGAATTGCCAATGACGTGCCACGCACGTCGTAATGTTTTTGTACCAGAATCGTTAATGACGTGTCACGCACGTCGTAATGCTTTTGTCCCAGAATAGTTAATGACGTGCCACGCACGTCGTAATGCTTTTGTCCCAAAATCGTTAATGACGTGTCACGCACGTCGTAAT